AATCTAGTTTTGGTCTAGGGCTGTCATGTACACACTGTAAATCTAACAATTGTTTGCTGGTAGCCAGGCGTCTTCCTAGGTCCTAGTCCAGTAACATGTGGTAGGTGGTTAGTTTGTGCTATGAACACATGGAATTTCAACAGTATTTTGTTGTGCAATTGTTTGTTTGAACCTTGTCAAGGCTTGTGCTGTTGTCTTTGGTTTAAGCAAACTTCCACTGATTTCCCGTTTCCAAATTCCAATGATGGATGATCTTTGTAGCAGGAACAGATCCTTTGCTATTTTTTAAATATATATTCTTCGATCCTTGTAATTGAATTCATTCTAATAATTATAATTTATGCATAAATTAATTAAGCTAATATGGTTGTATATATAATATATTTGTATATTATTATTAGTTGTTCAAGGGAGATACTTCTATGTTGCATTTCTACTATATGAAAACGAGTTGAAGACTATGCTATAAGTTGGGGAGCAGAAACATAGCATGGTGATCCATAGAATCAAATTACATCTCTCGCCCTATGATATGTGAACTTGGAAAAATTGTGAAATATCAAATTTTAAACGAATAACCTAATTTATCGAGTAGATTCTAATTCCTCTCAAATAAAAGGATCAAACGGCCCCTTTATGAAAGTCGTGAGCCCTAGATTTCGTAGAACAAAGCTCCTTGCTCCATAATTCCATGATGCCTTTGTGGATGAAGGACTTGCACGAATCTCAAAGCTGACTTTCTAGAAGTCAGCTTGTCTCGTCGTCACCCCCTGACCCCTGCGCGCGTCTTCATTCTTTCTCCCTGCCCAGCTGAAGGAAGCCGCTTTTGCAGTTTGGACGCGGGACAGCCTCCGCCCTTTCCGTCCGCCGCGACTCGCGAGGAATTCCTGCCGAGGCGTAGAGCAGGTACGGCGCGTGGCTCAGAGCCAGCCTCCCAGTCATTTCATTTGCTGTCCATCCTCCCTCTCTGGATCCGCCGTCTCTGTGCTGCGTCACTCCGATGTTCGTGCTTTTCCCAGATCTCTCATGCTATCGTCTGACTCCTTGCCGACCGCAATCCGGCTCGGCCCACGCATGCGCTGAATGTGCAGGGCGAAGCATTCGTTGGGGGCGAACGTTTAGGGCGGGGATTGGGGAAGACGAAGCTGCGGGTTGGCGCAAGCGAGCAAATTTGGGGTCCTAGCTTGAAGGGCTACCATCTTTTTTGGTTGGTGAGCTACACATCACATGCCAATCTCCCGTTTCCGTACTCTTGTATTGTGTTTATTATTTTAATTATCTCCTGTAATAGCATTTGTTCTGTCTCTAAATAGCTGGGATTGAATTATCTCTTAAAGTTATTGATTTATGATTTTACACCTGTAATTTCTAATTCAGTTCTTTGTTTGATTTCATTGCTCTGTCTGTTGGATCATGAAACTAGCGTCTGTTTGATTTTACATCTATAATTTCTAATTATTTTATTTGTTTGATTTCATTGCCCTGTCTGTTGGCTCGTGTAACTAGGGTCTGTTTGGCAGAACGTATTTTTGCCGGCTAAGCTCCACGCAAGAATTTGAAGGATTTTCACCTACGTGGGGAGCTGAAAAAAATTTGCTCCTCTCATTCGCCTCTCTCCGCCTGCGCGCAGTAGGCTGCCATCACCCCTCTCCACGGCCTGATTCGCCTCTGTCTCCATCCGTGCCGCCCTCTCCGCCGCGCCTGACCCAGGTAACTTGTCAAACGGAATCAGTTCCGGAGAATTGGGAGTTAAATTCTGGGGATCCCATCTTCTAATTTATCAGAAATAGTTCGAATATATATAGATCAGAAAGCAAAAACAACAGTTGCCCTCGTGTAGACAATATGTTTACTTTTATTTTCTGGGACATACCAGTTTCCTGTTGTCGTTGTGGTATACAATCATATGCGTGCAATCTGAAGCCTTTATGTTTTTTCATGAGACCAACCCCTCTCTTTTTTTTCTCACAGGGATGGCTGGAAAAGGAAGCTATGTTCCTCCACAATATATTCCCTTATACAGCCTAGATACTGAAGAGGATTGTGTCCCAGCTGTGGAAGAGAACCATGCTGCGCACCATAAACTAAACCGGGATCCGACACAATGGTCATCTGCCATCTGTGCCTGTTTTGATGACCCCCAGAGCTGTATGCCACTTTTTAATCTGTGATCCTTGATTTACAGAAGAAAATATAAAAGGTGCTATTTGGTTGCATGTTAGGTTGTATATAGTAAGTAAACACTAAAATGTAATGCTTTTCTTTTCTCTACATACCAAATGTAGCATGTTCTTGTGTTTATGTAGTGTAATAATGATGAATATGTGTTTAAGAGAGAAATATTTGAATTGAGCTATGATATATTAGGATAATCTTCCTTATTAATCTGTAACCCTTCTTGCCTGTTTTCCTACTAGTATTGCTTGGTGGTGGATTTTTAGGCTGAGTTCTTGTAGATAAATAGCAATATCTCTGCATGTTACTTGACATACATGTGATGTGTTCAATCTGTTCAATTCATTACTCATCCAGCGCACTGCACACATATCACTATGAGCTAGCTGTTTTTTTAGGGAAATAATACAGTAAGGTTCCATAGATTCTTATTCTGGTAGTGCAATATGAAAGCAGTCCTACTACTGCTCTTTTCCTTATTAGTATTGCAAACATCGTAAACATGTGAGAATGAGTGAATGAATGGGTTGTGATAGTGGAGAATACCTATTTGTGTTCTTGTTTCTAGGGAGCTATCAATAACCTAATGTTGCCCTCCCATTTATGGGTAGTAAAATATTGGAAAGGTCGGAACTACTTCTCATTGTGAATAATGCAGCTAGCTACCATCTGCACGATCATATTCAGCTGAATTTGATTTTCTTTTTCAAGTTCAACAAAATACTGTAGGATTGGGTTGATATAGATCTTACACTGTTTCAACAAAGCAAGTTAATATTTGGTATTGTCATGTTTGTTGCTGCTTTGAGTTGTCATTCAAATAATAGTATGAAGTGTTTCCTAATATGTAGCTGTCTGGATTTACATGTAATAAGTAAAAATAGCTAGGTTTCTTCTGCGATATTTCATAAGAAAAAAATATGTAGCTTTAAGCCTCAGCATATCATAAAATAGGAAGTTTGGATAAAATTCTCATTCCTAATTATTTTCTAATGCTTTGTTTATCAGTAGTATATAAATTTGGCTCAACCGAGAAGGCTACAACAAAATGTAGCCATGGTGACTAGGACCAACCAAACAAGATGTTAATAAGATGGAATTGTGCTTGAATAAAACCTCTTTTACCTATCTATTGGGTATTGTATATTTATTCAATCCAGTTTGGAGGTGTCACCATCTATTGCATAATCATGTAATACTGAAAAATCCCATTTACCTGCATAACAAGATTTTCTGGCCATTTTTCTAGGTTGTATTGGTGCGACTTGCCCCTGTTTTCTTTTTGGAAAGAATGCACAATTCTTGGGATCTGGAACTCTTGCTGGATCATGCACTACACATTGCATGTTGTGGGGCCTTCTCACAAGTCTATGCTGTGTATTTACTGGAGGTCTAGTATTAGCAGTTCCAGGATCTGCCGTTGCTTGTTATGCCTGCGGATACCGCAGTGCACTAAGAACAAAGTACAATCTTCCGGTATGTGGTTTGAACCGCTGCGGTTGTTATATTGGCATTTTTCTTCCCCTGCAAATTGGCAATCAGAGACAATTTTCTTAACATCATGCAGCTTTTTCTCAACTACTGTAATTTGGCTATTGGGAGCAAATGAGCAGTGCTGCATACCTGTTTTTTTTAGTTTAAATATACTAGAGGCATACTAGGGCTTCATACAGGGCATTAGGGCAACATCCTCCACTATTTCTAATAGTGAGCTCTGCGATATAGTTGATTGCCTTTTCTATCCCTATAAAATAGATGATAAAGCTGTTTAAATAGAATTATTAGGGACATGTTCTCGTATCCCTTTACAGCTGTTGTGTTTGCAATTGCATTGCACAAAGTCACTGTCAATGATACGGTGGCTCTTGGTACCAAAACAAACAGTGCATGCTTAGGCTCCATTTGGTATAATTCGACCTCCGCACTTGTACCATTGTTATTTGTCTTTGTAATTGGATGGTTTGGAAGTTTTGCATGGGCATTTGCTATAAATACGATGAATTCGTACAAAACGTGGTTAACTACCTCTAGAAATTAATCATATTTGGGGTTTCAACTGTAGATCATTGTGATTTCTGATACACCTCAACAAATATTTTCGGAGTTTTAATATTCTTCTGTCATTTACCATTGCTGTGTTTCTTCAAAACAAAATTACAATTAGTGTGATTATTTTGGTCTCTGATGACGTTTTGTGGGTTTAATATTTTTTTTCTCACCCTGGAATGTTTTTCCTATGCAGGAAGCACCCTGTGGCGATTTGACGACACACTTATTCTGTCACTTGTGTGCTATATGCCAGGAGTACAGGGAGATCCGTGAGAGAACAGGCAGTGGGTCCTCATCGGCTCCTAATGTGACTCCACCCCCAGTTCAGACGATGGATGAGCCTTGATCTTAACTGATATGAATGTATGTTATCTGACAAACTTTGTTGTGTGACCTGGTGGCTGGTGATGCCTTTGCCTGCCGGTGTTTTGACATATTTTTCACAATGTTACTATGTGGTTTGTAGAGTTGTAAACATGGGTTTTGAACTAGTGAACCACTGACAGTTCATGGAAGTTGTAAACACAGTTGTACCATGGAACTGTAGCAGAATTGTACAGTATTTTTCTCTCGCAACAAATCAGCCAACAGTACTTCTCTTGTTGAAGGTTTCATTGTGTTCAGTTCTATGAAGTGTTTTTTTTTTCTTTTTGTCGAACAATCAAATTGCCGACTGCCTGCAGATGAACGATTCAATATTGTGGCGAGTGGTATAAATTTCAGTTTATTCAAAAGTTTTCGTTATACAAACATAGCACACGCGCAAATTCTTGAGATTACATGGCACATACAAAGATACAGTCTCTTTTATTCTGTTGTTCCTGCACAAAGTCATGTAGTACTAATGAGTTCTCTCTTCCTTCAGGCTTGAGCATCATCATCCAACCAGAGGGTTCACCACATGCCCAAGGAACAGCAGGACGCCACTCCTCTCCTCCACGATGGCGAACAAGAAGGGCCGGTCCGCTACGAAATCTACCGGCGGTGGACCCATCCTTGCACACTGTTGTATGCACACGGCCGTGGCCGCGGCGGCCACGGTGCCGACCTCGTCCACCTCTACGGTGGCCTTGTGGTACACTCCTGAGATGAAGAGCCCGTTTCCACCGGACACCATGCCGGAGAAGTCGCCCCCGCCGAAGGCTCGGTTGACTCCCCAGCTTCTGGATATCGCCGGATGCCTCAAACTCGAACGTGAACTTGAACTTTGGCACCATGAACCGCCCGACGGGGACCTCGTCCACCGGCGTGTGCCTCCTGATGAACCCCGGCGTCGAGACGGCCTTATCGTACAGATCACTGATCTTAAGAGCCTCACCGTCGGGTAGGAGTAGAAGCATGTAGAACGCGGCATGCCGCGCGCCGCCGTCGTTCTTGTAGGGCAGCTTGAGCGCCTTGAAGCCGGGGAACACGGCGACCTGCTGCTCCTTGAAAAGGCTCGTGGTCATGAACGGCGCGCGCACGGTGGCGCCGTCGGGAAGATGAAACGGCGCGGTGAAGTTCCTGAACCGATCGAACGGCCGAGCCCACGTCCCTTGAAGTAGATAGCGTTGGCGAGGACGAGCACCGTGAACGAGTCGACGGAGCCGGGAGGCAGGACGTCGTCGATGAGCCCTTTCGTTGCTTCGCTCACGAACGCGTTGACTCGCCGCCTCGCCGCCTCGGGCTCCGAGGCGAAGTCGACGGACTCCGCGACCGCCGCGTAGCGCGACGTGGCGGCGTCCCTGAACTCCGACGTGAGCGCCCGGCCCCGGTCCACCCAGACGCCGCAGGCGAAGGACGTCTGCGGGAGGTCGCGGAGCCTGGCGACCAGCGCGGTCGCCGCGGCGCGCTGCAGCTCGTCGAGCGAATCGGAGCCCAGGAAGCCCAGGAGCTCCCGCTGCGTCTCGCCCCGCGCGCCCGCGGCCACCAGCGCGAGCGCCGCGTGGAACGACAGCGGCGAGACGATGAAGTTGCGTTCGCCCGCCGCCCGCAGCCCGGCCTGCCTCGCGAGCGGCAGGCACGACGCGCCGCCGTCCGCGTCGAGGTCCGGCGGCACCACCGCGGGGACAGAACGGCGGCCGCTGCCAGCGAACACATCCGGTAGCCCGTGTCGCCATTCCGGTTCCGGAGCCGCAGGCCCGGCTGCGAAGCTGGCAAAGGGCACCTCGCCGGGCGGTCCCCACGGCACGTTCTGTGTCGACGGACGTGGACCATCAAATGGGTTCGCGAAGGACACGGGCATGCTCCAAGGGAACGGATCAACAGGTGCCTGCGCGAACACGGGCGCGTGCTGGGGCGCCCAAGGGTGCGGCGGGGCGAAGGCGAACCACGGCCCCGCCATGGACCCGAAGCTCAAGTCGCCCGCGCCTTGTCCGTCGTTGTCTCGGGAGCCTGCTCCTGCTCGTGTCGCGGTGCGCTCGTCGCCGTGGTGCTGGACGCCGCGACGCGGTGTGCTCATCGTGTACGTGTGCTGCGAGGCCTCAGAGCTCAGAGCTCTCCGGCTGCTGAGGACGAAGCAGCAAGCGTATGGTTCGTCACGCTAGTTAGCACCACCGCCGAGGAACCGGAACGAAAGAACGCACTGGTAGAGTGGTAGTTGATAATTTTGTATGTTCGAAAAAGAAAAACTTTGTACGCAAAATTGGCGCGAAGATGGCCTGCCCTGCCGTGCGTTCTCTCGACGGAAACTCACCGGCACGCTGGGGCTGGGCCACTGGCGGGATCGCCGAGTAGCGCAGCGGTTGCACAAATTGAAAGGCTGGATGGGTGGGTGGGATGAGAATGTTGCAAGTCTGGTGCTCCATTTATGGAGAAACGGGGTAGTGTTGAGCCGCTAGTTTCTTCAATGACAAGTAAGCTTGCTCCAAGTCAACGGAGGCTCTGAGTAAACTAACGAGTAAACCATTCGGCAAGCGCGTACAGCTTGGTTAGGGCGTAGAGCTTTGAGTCTCTGGTATACCCTGGTAGCAATGCCATTATGCCACTCATTGGCTTGGCGAGCTCATGGCACAGCGTCCGCTACACGCAGCTTTCACACGTCATTCAACTACTCACAATGATTATTATATTTAAGAAAAGGAACGATGCACCAATTAGTTTCTCATAATTGACAAATTCAGGGTAGAAAGTGTTTGAATAGAAGGGTAGCAACGATGCACCAATTAGTTTCTCATCTTGTGAGGAACAACGAGGGGTACTTCGACCGACAGATCAACAGCGAAACCGTATCACTTTCATAATTGACAAAACAATTTGCTTCGAAAACCTCCTCTGAGGCAATGTGATGAGTAAAAACTATGGGACCAACCGATCCATTCTAACCTTTTTCTATAATCAACAATGGTTATAAGGAGCGTTCTCTGTAACCGCTTTCGTGCAAGTACAGCACAATGAAACACTAGCACATGGAGAAAAGAACATAGCTGGTTTTTGTTTTTTTTATTCTGACGCGGGTCCTACTTATCGATTTAGTGATAGAGTTGAACTTTGTTAGCTCAGTTCTACCTTTACACTGGAGCTGCCCTTAGATTGTGTAGTACTAAACACTTGCTTGTAGCCTTTTAGTTGTACCACCATCGGTGTTACACCGTAAATCATCTACTAAAACATGTCATGAGCATCATGTTTATGTGTTAAAACATGTAATAAAGTGTGTAGATCAATTTCTGTAACTCGAAACGATCGACAGAAATGCGAAATGAAAGTTGATTCGATAGTCATGTTATATCACTTATTGTTTAAAACCAATTTTTATTAAGCAAAAATGCTATAGAACATGTATGTGATACATAAATAAAGTTTGAAGTACAAACTTTGTCAATGACAATGAAATACTTGCGGTTGAAAAATGATATTACTAGCTAATATTTCCACTAGCTCAGAAATCGTAAATGAAAGTCAAATTCAGCTCAAAAACTTAGAAATTTTCAAGTCTGCCAACAGTTAGACATTGTTATGTTTAGCAATTTATTGTGAGAGATTGTGTTAAGGAGTGGTGCAGTGTTATAGCTTGATTTGGTAGCCTCATGTGCCATCTTGAGTATGGTGAAGATGGTTTATGTTCTAAAGCAACCGTTTGGTCGTGTTGAACGCTTTAAAATTCGTGTGTCACTATCTCAAGCGGTCTGGCGTCGTGGGCGCGGTCACCGCGTGGCCACCCCGCTCCGCGCCCGTGGTCGCGCGTGGCCGGCTGTGGCCGCCTCTGAACTGGCCAGGGCTCGGCTGCCGCTGGCCCACCGCGTGGAGCCGCCGCTGCTGCCGCCTGCCCCGTCCCGCGCTGCGCTACCGTCTCGCGCGCCGCGCCATCGCGTTGGGTCGGTCGAGCCGCCTTGGCTTGGCTGAGGTCGGTCGTAGCGGTCCACTAACCCCATCCCGTGCCCATTGCCCTGCCTCGCGTTGCCGCTCTTAATGCCGCCGCGGTCGCGCTACTGCTGCCCTCCGTGCCGCGTCACAGCGCAGCCGCAGCCGCTATCGTCACGTCACCGCGCTGTGTTGCTGCTGCTGCTGCCCTCACTGTCTCGCGTCGTGACGCTACTGCCCGTCATGTCTCCGAGCACATGGGCTTCCCCTTGCTGTCTAGCGCCGTCGCCATGCCATTAATGGTGCTGCGGTCGCGCATGCCACGCTACCCCACCGCCTGCACGCACACATTTTGGCTTTGGCTCCTGTGCACGTGTCGCCCTGGTAGCGTCAACCGCACCTCGTAAAGGCAAGGACGGACCGAGCTGGACCTACATCTTCCCCCTCATTGGCTTTTTCTTCCCTGTCGCCATGGCCGGCGAAGCCGCTTTCTTAAATTCGGTAGATACATGTCACCTCATGTCGATTCACTGCCTCTGTTGCTCTGCCTGTGAGTCATCTAGCCGCCTGACCTTACCCCGCCTTAACTCGTGTCACGCCGATCTCCAATTTTGGAGTATCCCTCTGTCGTGCCATTAAGGTCGGACTCGGCTGTGGACAAGGGCAGTCACCCACCGCACCACTCCACGCCAATCCATCTACCTCACGAGCTTTGCCTCCACCTCCACTTCACCATGCGCACCTCGCTTGCACCTCTACTGCCTCGCCGTAGCTGCTGACGTGGCTGTGCCATCTTGGAGCGCCGCCGCAACCCTCTGGTTGTGCGCGGCCAGCCCTTATCCGCTGATCGTACCCTCAACCATCACTACAGCTGTGACCAGTGTAAGGTGGGGTTGCTCACGTGCTAGCCAATAGCTACGCGGTGGTCTAGGATGGCCGGTACGGCCGCACCAGTGTCGCACGTGGCCGCTCGCCATGGCCACCGCTCCCGCAAGCTTCGCTGCTCCCGTAACTTCATCTAGTGTAGGCGCTAGGACCGTAGATGCAGGTCGGCCCGCTAGCGGGGTCGTTGCGTGCCTTAGTTGGCTGGCATCACCATCCATTGTCGTGCCCACCGCGCCAGCGCACGCAGGGGTGGCCGAGGGCCTTGTCGTTGTCAAAAGGAGAAAGATCCGAGGGTTTCGTTGCAAAGTCATTTGTCTCAGAGAAATAATAACATGGACTGCAGGTTATTTTGTTCATAGTCTAGGGGCGTTTTTGCAAGAGTGCCAACACGCGTTGGCTTCCTCGCCGCGGGCCGCCTCCACGCGTGGGCCGAAATCAATTTAGCTTTTTCATAAAGAATAGAAATAGCTTTTCATTGTGTATTTCGAAATGAACTTTGGTAAATCATATAAAATCATGTAGGTATCCAAAATTTTGAAACCAATTTTGTTAGGTTCCTAAATTTGTGCTATATCTGTTGGTGTATTTAGTTCATGCTTATATGTGTTGACTCGAGGAGCTATTAAATCATTTGAGAGTGCTTAGTATTATTAGGTTAAATATTGTAGGAATTTTTGTGGCAAAATGATGATAGCTTTAGCTTTGAAAAAATTTTACTGAGAGCTTCATGGTATTATTATGTGCTCTTTGTAATTTTTGTAGCTTTAGAATAGACTTAACATAAGGGTAGTTAAATGCTCTTTGTTTCAATATACATTAAATCATTAGTGGAAGTAAGGATATATCTTTAGTTGCTAAGTTAAAGGTTGTTAGTTGAACCCAATACCTTGTTTGATGAAAATGATAGCTAGCTTAGTATCTTAGTCATTAGAGTTTGCTTAGTAGCTTGGTAGATGTATTGTTATTTTAAGAGTTCTTTGTTGTCGTAATACTAAGTGTTGCATCATCATCGCATGCATGTAGAGAACGAGTTAAGGAGATCGTGACCATCGGAGACCACGAGTTCGAGGAGGTGATCGAGGAGTACGAGGAGATCCTCGCAAGGAGAGGAGGTCCGGAGCCACCACCTGACCCGACCGAAATGACACCCTACCCGCCCAAGGCAAGCTCAGATGCATAATCCTTATTTTAAATGATCATGAATATATATATATATATATATATATGTGTGTGTGTGTGTGATGTGCATTTATGTTACAGGATTTATATTGAAACTACATGCATAGATAAACCTACCTATGAGTCCTACTAGTATAGGTCGAGTAGCTGCTATGCTTAGGCTATCGGTAGCGTGAGTAACCTGTCGTTACTCGCAATAGGTGATTATTATTATCACCCTCATAATAAAATGGTGAAAGGAAAAATGGAGATCGGGTAGGGATATGGTACGGGTATTGGTGGGTGTAATAGGTTGTGTCCCGCGGCCAATGGAGCATAGCTTGGTTACACTGTTTTCCCTGTCCGTGTCGGTTAAGGACCGGCCGTTGCATTAGATTCTAGTTAGGTCATAGACTTATTATCCTGAGCACATACTTGCTTATGGGAGTGAGAAGACTCGTTGCTCTCTTGTCGTGGGTTTTGGCTCTTTCTGGACCGACTGATTGGAGGCGGGGATGGTGGTGGTCTAAGCACCACACTGAGTCTGGGACTCAGGTGTGGGGGCTTGGAGTCTAAGTTTGGATGGGTACCTAGACCCCTTGATAGGAGAGTGGTGGGTTGGTCTTGCTTGTGCCTGGGGTACAAGCGGGGCATGTGTTTCATGGTACCTAGTTGGGCTACATTGATTCATGAATCACCGTGTAATACGGTACGACTTGTCTACGATCTAGCACCATAGTACGAACTGGAAGATGAAAGATGGTGAAATGGATCTGATTGCTCAACTCTTGCTTGAAAGTAGAACATGTGCTTACATAGAATGGCTAGATAAATGAACTAATCATGACTACTAATAAGAACATCCATAAGAATTCACTACTAGTAAGGCTTTTTGCAAAAAGGAAACCCAAACAAACCATAAAGCTTATCATATCCTTTGAGTCGGGAAGTATTCCCACTAGTCGTAAGTATTATGTAGTATATTGTGTACTCAGGGTT